GAAGGAAACAAAAACTCAGAGAAGAAATTAGTCTACAGGACTAACAGACTACACAAAAAGCACAACCACATCTCCCCTAAGACCAGAAAAATTGTATGGTGCTTGGCTACCATTACTGACCATTCTGATCAGGCCACAATAGATGGATCCTGACAGAATGGGAGAAAAATGTGCAACAGAACTTCAAATTCCTAAAAACCAAACCAAAACAGATTTACTGGAGTTATTGAGACTGAAGTATTCTTTGAGACTATTGCCCTAAGATACTTTTTAAACCTTAAACCAAAACTAGCCCCTGACTAGGGACCATAGTCACAGAGGATGTCAAGCTCAATTGGCATAACATACTACACAAAACATTGTTCCACCTCCTACTATGGCGAGTAGCAACTGGGATCTTCAAAGCTTGCAAGCTGCCATCTAGATGCAACGATGGGTCTCTCCTCATCCAGAGCCAAGAAGAATGAAGCAAACTAAAACTTCATGGAAACAATTAGTCCTAGCAACTGGTACACCATCCGATCTGCAGCCTATAAAACTGAGACCAGATGAACTAGATGGTGCCTAGCTACTACTGTCAACCACTTGGAAGAGGATCTATGTAGGAGATCCTGGATAGACAGGGAGAACAATGTGGAACAAAACTCAAAATCATTTGGAAAATAAAAAGGGGGGGGACCAGGTTTGCTAGCCCGATGGAGCCTGGTGGAACTACTGAGACTATGGCCCCTAGCTGCCCTTCAGGTCTGGAATTGAACGCATGCCTGTGGCTTCCAGCCAAACAATGGACAGGCATATGAGTTGAAAATTTACCTGAGGCAGGTATACTCCTTGGAGAGAACAAGCATGGGAGAAAGAAGGACTGCTTATGCATAGAGAGACAGCTTATGGGGCAGGAATTCATGGAGGGATGGACAAAGGGAAGAGGTAACTGTTGGGAGGAAATGGGAGGGGAGATGTTGCATTGTGGTAAATTGTGGTCAATGTCATGAGACAAAGTGTATGTGAACTGCTGTATGGAAAGCGTATTTGCTCTGTAAATTTCCACCCAAATCACAATAAAAAGAAAAAAATAGCCCCTGAGGTCACCTTTTAGCTAAATAACAGATTGGCTCAAGATAAATATAGATTGGTATTGTGGTTCTTTAAAAAATCATCTATATGAGACCAAATGATCAATAATTACTTTAAAACAAAGATGAATATATAAGATGGCAGGGAAGCTAGCTGAATTGAAATGGAACAACCAGAATAGAAATATTGAGAATGCTCAGGCATTGTGAAGAATATAACCTATGTCACTCATTTGTGTAGAAATTGTTTAATAGGAACTTAAGCTTCTATGTAAACCTTCACTGAAAAGACAATAAAATATTATTTAAAGTAGTCCAAAGGACTAATAGACTATTAACCCACTACTACAAACCATAGTCTCCAGTACTCTGAGATAAGAACTAGATGGTGCCCAGGTACCCCTCTGACCACTCTGATGAGGATCATAATAGAAGGTCCTGGACAGAGAGCTAGGAAAAAAAAAACAAAAAAAACTATAGAACAAAATTCAAAATCTTAAAAAAAGACCAGATTTACTGGTCTGATAGAGACTGGTGGAACCCCCAGGGACTGTGTTCCTCAGATACTCCTCGAGCCTGGAACTGAACCCTCCCTGAGCCTGGAACTGAACCCTCCCCAGGGATAAACTTTCAGCCAAACAATAAGTATAATAAGAATAATAACATAGGGAGAAATATACTCCTCAGTATAACGAACCATATGAGACCAAAAGGGCCACATTTGCCCAAAAACAAGGCTCAGAGGGAAGCAGGGGCAGGAAAGAAGGATGATTGGAAACAGGGAATTCAGAGAGGAAGTGAAAATAGTGCTGTTACATTGAGGAGATTGCAACCAATGTCATGAAACAAATGTATATGTATTGTTGAATGGAGTACTAATTTGCTCTATAAACTTTCACCTAAACAACAACAACAAAGGATTACAGGCTAGGAAAGCCTATGAGGCAGTTCTACTCTGTCATAAAGGGTCACTATGAGTTGGAATCAACTCAACTGAACACAATATATTATATAATTATAAAATAAATTTAAAATAAAAAGAAAAGAAGGGAAAAAGGAACATAAAGTTTTCATAACATTGAAATTCTTTATTGACAGACAAAGCATGTAGACCAATTGGAGGAGCTGTCATAAAGAAACTGATTTAGGTCAAATAATAAATAAAAAGTGTGTTGTCACCCTTTGATAAGACTTTTAAAATATTTAAAGAATTTGTAGTAAATCTTTCAAGCTGGTCAAAAACTCATAGAAAAATCAATAAAGGCATAGACACACACGCATACACACACACACACACAAACACACACAAACTCAATATCCAGAAGTCCTTAATCAATTCTTAAAAAAAATAATGTGAATAGCCTTTGCCAAATGGGGTTGACTGAAAATAAAATTCATGAAACCCACATTTTTGAGGTCTGTGATGGCAAAAGACCATGACTGATTGAGATACAAAAAGAGCTCTGGGCCCCCAACTTTCTATAAGCAGGAGGCAGGCTGAAAGCTGCTTAGTTGGCAGGGAAAGCATGTTCTGCAAAGTCTTCTTTAGATGTAGCTAAGGAAAATTATCTCAGAAAGGATCTTATAAATGGCTCTCCTAGAAGGCAGATCAATGGTCTAAGGAACTACTCAGACTATAGAACAAAGATTTAATTAAGGGATATTTAAAATTGTGACAGGTGCCACATTTCCTAGCCTCAGATTAGAGGCCAAAAATCATTCCATGGAATTTCAGAATTTCTACAGAGTAGTGAGTGACTCCATCCTTCCCTTTTTAGATTCTAAGTGTTTGCTGAATTTATCTTGTCCTTATTTCAGCAAAGCATATTGAGTGTGGGAGGTGTTAACTTGTCATTTTTTTATCTGTCAGTCAATCAGTCTCTGGTTCAATAGAAATCAAATATAGACCTTTTGTAGATCATCATATCCTGGATCTTAAATCCAAGGCTATGTTTGGAAGAGAAGAAATATTTAGGGTTTCACAGGGTGGGGATGAGTATATTTTATCTTTAGGAAACTGTGATAGTTGGAGCTGTGTGTCAACTTGGCTGGACCACAATTCTGTGTGGTTTAAGCAGTTGTGATGTGATTATTCCCATGATGGGATCAGATGAATATGTTTTGAGCAGCCAATCCATTGAAAGGGAGTTTCCCTAGGGGTGTGGCCTGCTTCAAGTATATTTATGAACATCCTGGAA